AGACTGAAAACAGAACACCAACACGCTCGTCCGCTTCCTGCTTTCTGATTGGCCAAGGTTTATTTCTGCCGCTTCTCACAAAACGCAGATTTCCTTTACTTCGTCAGACAATCTTTCGCTTTCGAAAGCATCGAGAAAAGTCACAATATATGTACTGTATTTTTAACAATAATACTACAAGTCCTCGAGGAGTATTTTTCGAATTTCTCCTCGGGAGATACATCAAACACCTGCCGCGAGGCCGCTGCAAAGCAAGTGTAACGACACGACCTGTTGTACACTGCTCATTGAGGGACTGTCGGCACCCTACCACGTTACATTTGTAGCCAGAAGACTCTGCTCGCCGGCAAGCCAAAAACCGGGCCGTCTCGTTGGGTGCTCGAGGAGAAAATGCCGATCGTGACAAGCAGCGACCGGCCTCTCGATCAGAACAGAGGGCTGCGCGGCGTTTTCGGGCTGTTCCGTGCGGGAGTAGAGTCGAGTTGCAACCTTTTTTCTCCACACTCACGATACCCCAAGGCATCTAACCTCGTACGAGAAAAATGGTGGGTAGAGCTATCTCCCGTCGCGTGGCATTGCCAATGCTCTTGCTTCCTCCTTCAAAGAGTTATCGCTGAAAAACTAAACTGTGAGCAGACATTCGGCGTGAAGTTGGAACTAGCCGCTCCNAGAACAGAGGGCTGCGCGGCGTTTTCGGGCTGTTCCGTGCGGGAGTAGAGTCGAGTTGCAACCTTTTTTCTCCACACTCACGATACCCCAAGGCATCTAACCTTGTACGAGAAAGATGGTGGGTAGAGCTATCTCCCGTCGCGTGGCATTGCCAATGCTGTTGCTTCCTCCTTCAAAGAGTTATCGCTGAAAAACTAAACTGTGAGCAGACATTCGGCGTGAAGTTGGAACTAGCCGCTCTCTGACGTGGATATATTTTTAGGGTCAACCAAAACTTTTTTCTCTACACGCAATATACCCCACGGTAGCAAACCTTGGGCATGAAAGATGGAGCAGAGAGGTACCTCCCGCCGCGTGGCGTTACTGTTGCTGTTTTGCGNCCTTCAAAGAGTTATCGCTGAAAAACTAAACTGTGAGCAGACATTCGGCGCGAAGTTGGAACTAGCCGCTCTCTGACGTGGATATATTTTTAGGGTCAACCAAAACTTTTTTCTCTACACGCACGATACCCCACGGTAGCAAACCTTGGGCATGAAAGATGGAGCAGAGAGGTACCTCCCGCCGCGTGGCGTTGCTGTTGCTGTTTTGCGTCTCCTCCTTCGGAAAGTTATCGGTGGATAACCAAAAACCCGCGGCGGTCCAAAACACCGAACTTGTGACCGCTCGCAACCGTTGACATTTTTGCTTCAACACAATCTTTTTTCCAGCGCATTCGGCAACTCATGGCGCCAAACCTTGGCATTGCCCAACAGCCCATGTTACGAGCTCCTTCCGGATACCGTTCTTGAGGCAACTCGTAAAGTATTCGGCGAGATATCTCGACTAACACGTGAACAGAAGAGCGCAAAACCCACCCTAGAAAGAACACCGCTCGCTTTGCTGCCACCGCTCGCTTCGCTGCTGGCTCTTCCCCTTGGGCCAGGTCTTCTATTTTTTTCGCCTATTTCTTCAGTTTTTGCCACGATGATTACATGATAACGCAAACTATCCTCTAGAGGTATCTGACAAGCTTTCCTCTGGAGCGCGGTGGGCTTATTAGTTCCTCCAGAGTGTTTTTGGCCAATAATATTCCCCAGAAGGTTGTGTGGGACCTTTCCTCTAGATTTGTTACAGACNAACACAACCTTTTTCTCCGGCGCATTCGGCAACTCATGGCGCCAAACCTTGGCATTGCCCAACAGCCCATGTTACGAGCTCCTTCCGGATACCGTTCTTGAGGCAACTCGTAAAGTATTCGGCGAGATATCTCGACTAACACGTGAACAGAAGAGCGCAAAACCCACCCTAGAAAGAACACCGCTCGCTTTGCTGCCACCGCTCGCTTCGCTGCTGGCTCTTCCCCTTGGGCCAGGTCTTCTATTTTTTTCGCCTATTTCTTCAGTTTTTGCCACGATGATTACATGATAACGCAAACTATCCTCTAGAGGTATCTGACAAGCTTTCCTCTGGAGCGCGGTGGGCTTATTAGTTCCTCCAGAGTGTTTTTGGCCAATAATATTCCCCAGAAGGTTGTGTGGGACCTTTCCTCTAGATTTGTTACAGACGAAAAATCCCCTGGGTGAAAACCTTCCACAAAATGCTCTAGGGGTAGGCAACAATGGTCGGGACGATTGTTCTGGAGGATCGTTCCTCTGGAGGGTGTTTCATACCCAAGTTCCTCCCGACATCTGCTTGCTAAATGTCCATTCATTGCGTTTCTTATCAATAACACAGCGGTCAGTCATGCCGCGGGTCTTACGCGCTGTAGGCCCTACGAATGTATTGTGTGTTTTGCAACGCCTGGTCGATTGTACAATAATGTGCAAAAACACAGAGACGGATACACCTCTCGATGGCTTGCACTACACGCACACGCAAGAGGAAGAGACTGACCCCGACCGCGGCCGCGTCGCCGAAGTAGTAGCCTCATCCCAGCACCGTCACAGCTGCTGAAGTCGCACATGATGTACAGTATATACAGTCAGCAGAAAGATCATAGAATATCCCAAAAAGTTGCACTCCAACAAAAAAGCGTTACATTTATAGTAAGGTTACGAAACAACAATCGAGTCGCCGCGGCGATCACCGTAAAAATTTTCCGAATAGACTAGCGCTCTGCGTACATGAGTTACCCACGAACCCCGCCTTCTCAAGAGCAGACTATACTCGACAATATTGCCCACCCTACGCACACGTTTCTGCCGCACGCTGCAGGTGTGCTCGCGGACTGCGCACAAGGCGGGTCTCATGCACAACAGACTACATGGAGGGCGGATCCACTTACTCCTCACACAAGACGAGAAGCACCTGCCATTTTGTGCAACGCAGTTGGAGATTGCAACACACGACCGAGCGCGACAACCTGAGGGCGTTAGCAAGTTAGAGACATGGGGGGCTCTATTATACCAGTAGATGTTTAGTATGTCAACCAAGCCCTTGAACAAACGACGATAACGAGATAAACATATTTCCACCCACGTTATGTTGCCAGATCATTAAACACGACGGAGGCGTACGACCGCCCTGGGGCGCGCGTGTTGAAAGGTGTGGAGGGGGCCCNTGGAGATTGCAACACACGACCGAGCGCGACAACCTGAGGGCGTTAGCAAGGTAGAGACATGGGGGGCTCTATTATACCAGTAGACGTTTAGTATGTCAACCAAGCCCTTGAACAAACGACGATAACGAGGTAAACATATTTCCACCCACGTTATGTTGCCAGATCATTAAACACGACGGAGGCGTACGACCGCCCTGGGGCGCGCGTGTTGAAAGGTGTGGAGGGGGCCCCGGGGGTTAGACTCATAGTCGTGCATGCCGTAGTCGTTAGACCATTGACCTCGCATCCCTACAAAGCCGGGATGGAGCACGCCGGGTTCTCACCGGACCAGGCTCTCACATCACCAAGCGCGAAGCACCGCGAGGTATTCGGCGTGTCGCACGAAGGGTGCCCTGCATCCTGCTAAGGGTGTTCGGCATGTTGTGCTTACTTCCTTGCGTGCGGACGACAGCTGCGCATGCATATGACTTAATTTATTTTCTGGTCTTTCACCTCCGGAGACAGTTGTAAGCACTGTGTAACTGCCTCGAGGGTGCTTGGCCAAATGAACACAGCGTGGTGCGAGTATCCCCTTTGCGCGGAGTGAGGGTTATCGACCCCGCACAACATGATCTGCTCGACCACCATTCATGGTTACCGCAAAAAAAAAACGGTGACCAGGTTGCCGAGCTCACGAAGTGATCGGCTTGTTGTACAACATCGCCCCGGAGGGCATAAGGAGAGAGAAAAGGCTTCAGTTGAGGCCGGGGCTACCCCCGCGCTGTTCTTTTACAACATCGTTGCCAAGCAACGAAAACCCAACCCACCGGGGAGGGAGGGGGGCGAAAGAACGTCGAGAAAAGATATACACGCGGGGGCTTGTCTAGCTTGCTGTAATAGCGACCAGGTTTTTTTAGGGAGATGTTTCAATGACACGAGGGGGACGAGCTCGAAGGATGCTAATGGGGTATTTTTCCCACATAATAAGCAACCCGACCCACCGACGTCAAAGACCACTACTGGACTATCAAAATGTGTTCGAAATACGCGCAAACAGTTAGGTGCTGTCGTACCGAACCCCAAGTGAAACGACGTCCTACCTCACCTCTGACAGCCCACATGTTGTCTCAGACAACACCGTCCTGAAAAGAACTCCGCCAGTGCTCGTTCAGCATGTACGCGTCTCCAACCTCATGAGCGCCAGCTTGGCGTTCGTACTCCTCGCGTGGTGTGCTGGCGGGTCTCGTGAGCTACCTGACTTGTTGTGTTTCTTGTGGTGTTGGCGTCCTCCTTCGCTGACGTTTGCATTCTGACGAGGGAGAGGTGGTAGCGTTCTTAGGGCAACAGAGACAACTTGGCGTACCTTTTTGTACCTTATTCTAGCAGCGAGCGACAAGAATAAACATAAGAGCAACGGTCTGTGGAACGCATGAGATAGAAGTGCATGTACGGTCGACGAATGTTGCTGGCATGATGAAATGGTTCGAAAACCAGTGTTGTGTAGATGAGCTGAATTTATCTGAGTACCATAAGCTACGACTCCTTTTCGTGCCCCCGACAGTCAGTCGAGGTTATCGTTAAGACGTATTCGAAATTGGCAAGGGGAGCAGCACACATGTTGCTATGAGCTCACATGGTTATTGTTCACCCTGCAAAGCAAGACGTCGACGCTACACCACCACAACATCGCGATCATATAGCACCAACCCAACAGCAGCGGTTAGGGAATGAGGGCTAGGAACAAACAAGAGCGACCCCGGCGCGTTCTTCTAACGAGCGAGATATGGTTGCTCTGAGAGCGTTCAGGGACACAACAAAAGTAGCACCCACGTCGATGTCGACCAAAAAATGAGGTGGCGTTGATGCAGACACGAGGCCAAGACCAAGAGTTTGCCAAAAGACGTCGCCCACAATCTAGGTACCCTTTGATCCCCCACGTGCTCGATTCGTGCCTCTCACGCAGTGCTGCCATAACAAAATGTATTATACACACACAATTACTTAGGACAGGCTGAAACACTGCTGGCTTTCAATGGTAATCCCAATAANCTTTGATCCCCCACGTGCTCGATTCGTGCCTCTCACGCAGTGCTGCCATAACAAAANGGAGCGAACACTCAGCAAGCTTGTGAGACCGAACGATAACGGTAGGGTGAACAAATCGTTGGGTGCGGTTGGGGGAAAAAACGTTGGGTTGGTTTCAAGCACGCAGAGTGCAAGGTAGCAGCCTGGTACACACAACCCTAAACCAACAACGATGTAAGGTTTTCAGAAAAACACACGAAGGCTGTTGTCATCGCCACGCTCACATAGTCTCCCGCCCGTGTGTGCAGTTCGTCCAGGTCCAAATCGGTGAACTCTTGGCCGTTGGCGGCGAACGAGAGCGAGGAGGACGCTTGGAAGTACTCCAGCACACGATCCCGCACTTCCTCGGGGCTCACGTCGCCCCACATCTCTTCGTTGTACTTCTTCAGCGCCGTTGAGTTCAGATAGTGTTTCTGGTTGTTGAAGCGTTCATCAATACGGACGAAAACAGGCGTTGATGGGGCAAGGGTGGGGGAGGT